GCGGAGGGTGGCGGCGGTTCGAGGCGGCGGGCGGCACCCTGCAGCACTTGCAGGCGGAATGGCTATCGTCGTCGTCGTCGTCGTCGTCGTCGTCGTCGTCGTCGTCGTCGTCACGGGACCGATCGATCGGGATCCATTGGATGGATCGTCGTAGTTCCGTCGTCGCCGATCGGACGGGACGGCCGTTGTTGGACGATGTCGCTGATGGGGAGAACGTCGCATAGACATAGACGTTCGGAGCACTGCCCCGATTTCTCGGATCTGCGCTGCGGGCGGGGCCTCCATTTTTGTTGTTGTGCATTTTCGGCCCCCCATTGCTGGGGCCTCCCAGGGGCATCTCGACGTCACGACTGGGTTCCCCTCCGAAGTTCCGTCTTATGTTTGGCGGGGGGGTCGTCGCCATCCCCGGCAACAGTCACCGGGAGAGGAGTACGGGGGGCAGGAGGAGGAGGAGGGAGAGTAGGAGGAGGAGGAGGAGGAGGAGGAGGAGGAGGAGGGATGGGCAGGGAGGAGGGAAAGAATGAAGAATGGGAGAGGGCGGGAATGGGGGATACTGAAATTGCCTATCGCAGGGCAGGTCGGCTCGTGTGGTGCTCTCAGCTTGCGTGGCGATTTTTCAGTTCGCACACAGCGGTCGAGGCCGAGCGAGGTGTGGCTATGTGGTCGCAATCCCTGCAAATACGAAATCCGGACACAGCCGCACAACCCTTCGTACTTATGTCCAATATCAGGGCGTCGGAGACCTTGGGACCCCCATTTGGCTACCCAAGGTTATCGGGCCGGCACTGTCAGTGCGATGTCCTCGGCGCCAAGAGTTTCACCGCGCCCCATCTTCCCCGCGCGCACCAACACACCCGAGGGAAGCCTGGCCCAAGAACTCTGGCCTCGGACGCACTTGACGTACAGATCGAGCCCAGTATAGTTCGAAATCCAGAGGACCTTACGGAGCCAAGATCTGCCGGGAAAGCTCTAATGATGATTAGTGTCAGGAGAGAAGATACATTGCGGAAAGCCTTGGAATAATCTTGCTCCAGCAATCAAAGGTTCTCAGCTCTGAGCTGGCAAATGGCACCTCTGGATCGGCAACTAGCCTCCATCGCTCAGTGATGCAGACACAGACAGTTGCTCTAGGCCTCCCAGATGGGGTCCGAGTAGATGGGGTCGGAGGATCGCGCCGCATCGACGATGCATTGGCGATGCTTCTCGATGCGGAGCCTGCTTTCCCCGCCGAAGCATCGGCGATGCATTGGCGATGCGGCGCGAGCCTCCGACCCCGCCCACTCGGACCCCATCCGGGAGGCTCCCAGTTTCAGGCCCTGCGCAGAGAGACGCCCCACGTTTTCAGTCGCAGCGCCGACGGTCGCCCCGCGAGGCGGAGGCCCAGGCGGGGTCGGTGCGGGGCGGGCTGTGCACGGGCGCGGCGGGGGGCACAGAAGAGCGGCCGCGCGGGAGAGAACGGCGCAGGCCGAGCACTCGGGCCGTGAAGGTCTTCGTGGGTTGGGTCACGGCCTGGGGCTCCAGCCGGGGGCAGCGATAGGCATAATGGGCATGGGGGGGGAATGCGTCGACCCTCAATCGCCCATTGATCGCCGACAGGGGCCCGTTTGCCCCGAGCTGCCCAGGAACATAAGGGATTCACAGTCGGGGGCCTATCGCCAATATGTCGGCGATGTATCGCCGATTCTAGGTCGATTTGTCCCCCCCCCCCTTTGCCAGTCCCCCCCCCCCGTATCGTTGCTCCCCATGCAGATAGGAGCCGCCGAGAGCGGCAACACAAAGAAGCAAAAACGCTGTGGCCTGGAGAGGGAGGCGCAGGAGAGAGGATATTCTCTCCACCTTGACGCTGAGGGTTTTTGTTGTGGTTCTCGCTGGGTGCTTGCCCTGAGCCCGCTGCCCCAGACTCAGCCCTTCTCATCCTCATCCTGCTCCCGCCTCCTCCCCCCCCTCTCCCTCCATTCTCCTCCTCCTCCTCCTCCTCCTCCTCCGCCGCCGCCTCCCTCCTCCCCCGTGAGGACCAACCATCTCATCCTGCACTTGTTCCTCGTCATGCTGCTGCAGCTCTCTCGCCCCTCCTCCTCCTCCTCCTCCTCCTCCTCCTCTTCCTCCCTCCTCCTCCGCTCCTCTCCTCGCCCTCCTCCATCCTCCTCCTCCTCCTCCTCTCCTCCTCCTCCTCCTCCTCCTCCTCCTCCTCCTCCTCCTTCGTTCTCCCCTATCCTCGGCAGTGCCTCTCTGCCCTGGGCTCTGCGCGAAAGAGAGGGTGCGGCGCGCCGAGAGGGTGCCTCCCCGCCACCCCGCCTCGCGCGGCAGTTTTGCCGTATGGCCGCCGTCGCCGTCGCCGGCCGCGTCTGGCTGCTGGTTGTTATTGCCTTTCACCTGGACCCCTATGCCCCTACGCTCAGAGGAGGAAAAAGGCACCCATATCTCTATCCTTCGCCAGTTTTCCCAATGTTGGGGCCTCCTGGGAGGCCCTCGTCGCCACCGCTGGTTTCGCCTCGAAATTCTAGTCAGAACGCACCCTGGGAGGTCTGGGGAGTAGCGGTATCGGTGCCTTTTGGTTTCCCCATACGCGGCCGCGCGTGAGGCCAACGTAGAACCCAGAACCTTCTCCCCAAATTCTCATCGTCAAGCTGCTTCTCCTCCGCGTCACCCCTCTGTTGCGTCGCATCCTGCACCTCCTCCTGGTGTCGTTGGCCCGACGGTTAGAGGCAGCGTGACGTCGCGTAGGAGATGGGCTTGTCGTCCCAGATCATGTCCCTCCCCCTCGATCTTCGCCCACCCTCCTCCTTCTCCCCCTCCTCCTCCTCCCCCTGCATCCCTCATCTCCATTGTCCTCCTCCCCCTCCTCACCTCCTCCTCCATCATCTTCCACGTCCTCCTCATCATCATCATCTTTCTCCTCCTCCGCCTTCTCCCTCCCTCCTCTCAGGCGTGCCCAGCTGGTCGGGTGCCGAAGCCCCCGTCGCAGAGGCTCTGGCGCAAATGCTGCCGCTGCTCTTCTGGGGCCACTACTTCTGGCGGCGCTCGCAGAAGCAGCAGCTGGAACAGCCAGAAGAGGACCTCTTCCTCCTTGTCCTCGTCCTCTTCCACATGTGCCTCCCCTCCCTCCTCCTCCTCCTCCTACCCCTCCTCCTTTTCTCTTCCTGTTTTTCCTTCTCCTCTTCTCTTCTTCTCCTCTGCTCAGTTGTAACTACCGCTTTTGACCTCGCCCCTCCTCCTCCACCTATTCCCTCTCCTTCTGGTCCTCCTCCCCTCCTCCTCATATCCTCCTCCCTTCTCTTCCTCTTATGAACTTGTCCTCATTCAGCTTTTCCGATTCGCCTTAAGTATTCTCTCCTCCGCTGCTTCCTTCTATTCCTGTCTCAGAAGAGGGAGGACCTGCAGCAGCCAGACTTGGCCTAAACGTTTGTCAGATCAATTTGTTCAACCCCGCTGTCTCTCCAAATTCTCATTGCCCAAGGGACGTTTCTGGGCCCTGGGACCAGTAAGGAAAACCATATGACACCAAGAACTGACCGCGGGCGGGTAGAACAATGAAGCCGTCGAAGGTCAATGCTTTGATTTGTCCGAGGATGTTTTTTCTCCTGGTGTTTGGTTTCTTGGAGTTGTTCGGACCTGTGTGTGTGTGTGTGTTTTCAAGCAGCTGCGTATCGTGGGCGGCCTTCGGAGACGCCGGGCTCCTCCTGAACGGCTGCCCGAGGCCCCAGTGACGCCATGAAATCCAATGGGCAATCCACATTCGGTCGAGGTGAGAAGAACACGGCTGGCGCTTGAGCCCCGCTTTGGAGCTTGGGTCCGTGATAGAGCCTTCTGGGGTGAGCAGATCATGTGCAAATATAGTCTCCAGCGTTATAGTCGCCGCTCTTTCCGCGACGTAGTGTTTTCCACGACCTCCCATGTCGAGGTCTGCGATATTTGTATGTCTACACATCTGGCGATGTTTGGTCCCACCGCGATGTTTGGTCCTACCATTGAATCCCAGGATTGTCTTTCCTCTATTTGGCTTATTTTGTAGTGGCGCCTTCTTATCCGCATGTCCTCCGTTCTTCTCATCCTTCACTTCGTGATCAGAGTACTGGTACGACTGCGACTAGTACTACGACCGCTTTCCCATTGATTTTGAAATTTCTGTTCGGTATGGGGCGATTCCTGAGGAGGCCCTCGGAAGTGGCCAGCACGCTCGAAGAAGGCCCCGAAAAACCTCGATCCGTAGATCCTCTATCCTCCTCGGCCCTCGTTCCTCCCCGCACGACCCTCCATCCTCATTCCCCTCGACTCCCCATCATCCTCCATCTTCCTCCTCCTCCTCCTCCTCCTCCTCCTCCTCCTCCTCCTCCTCCTCCCCCTCCTTGTCCTCCTTCTCCTCATCCTCCTTCTCCTCCTCCCCCTCCTCGTCCTCCTCCTCCTGCTCCTGGTGATCCTCTTCCTTCTCCTAGCCAGGCTCAAGAATGCAAGAATGGTCACCCGACAGAGCCAAGAGGGGCAAACGCACACGTCGACGCAGACCAGGGGCCCCATCCAGTTTAGAAAGTGGCCAGGGGGAGGAGGAGAAGGAGGATGAGGAGGAGGAGGGAGCCTGCAGCGCCGCGGGATGTACGACCGGCCCGACCAGCAGAAGACGTGCGCACAGCTACCTATAACCCATACGCAGCGAGCAGGACAGACGTCTGGAGGACACCAGTGCGCCCTCCAGGATTGGGGTGTTGCAGCATAGAACGGTGTTCGCGACTGGGCAGGAGCAGAGCCAGTGAGGACGACGGTCTTACCACAGCGCTTGTCCTTGCGATTGCGATTCGGGGGAAGGGGAATGGAAGTGGATACATCATGTGTGTGCCAGGCACAGCCTATATCTTCACAAAGAGACTTCCCCCAGAATGCCGGCATACGACTTTGAACCCCTTGCGCAGCTACAAGGTCGGGCACCGGGCATGCGATTGCGAATAAAATAATACAAGCAATATTGTGTTTACCGTGCACATGCCTCCGGACAGCATGGCACGCTCACTCGCAAGACCAGGGGTGGATACAGGAGCAGTGTGATGGAATAGGTTGCCAAACAACGCCGATTATATGCGGAGACATGAGCAGTGGCTTTGGCAGTCACACGACACTGTGCGGCCTTTTGCAGCGCAGCGCGGGACGACACGTAGGATCTAAGAGCCCAGCAGTAGGGACCGAGAGCGCGAGTAACATACGCAGGTTTTGTGAAGGTGACAGCACGAGCATAAACAAACAACTACATACAGACGTCGGCGGGCAATGAATCAAACATCGGTGATACCGTCATCCCCACAACGCCTTTGCCGCTGATAGGGAGAAGTCCCAATTATGGTCGACAGCGAAGCGACCCCAGCTAATACGAAGCAAGTGGCACCGTGATCACTTCCCTGTGTTTCTCCGCCTCACGATCGGACTTTCCCAGACCCTCCCCTCTAGACGAGAGCGCGATGGCAAAGGCGTCAACGGCGATTCGCTCGTGAATTACAAGGGAAGAGGGAAGGTGGGGATTGTCTTCTTTGCAGCTGCAGATGAAGAGCTAGAGAAGTTGAGGGACGGGGTGTGGGAGGATGCCGATGCCAGCAGCACGCCTGACCATGAATGGGAATTCTATTGGACAGTGATGCGACAGGCACTTCGGGCTCCCTTCGGCGGCGCACCGCAGACAATGGATAGACGGTCTCATGGTGCGACAGAAGCGCATGGAATTGCTAGCCCGACGAAGAGAGCTGCGCCTAAGCCGAGACCCAGGGGTGTCTGCCCGAGGATACGACGTGGCCCAAGAAGGGCTACATGGGGCGATGGCACTCCTGAGCGACTTCGAGGGGAGCACCGAAAAAATACCCAGCTAGTGGACCAGGTAAGGGAGGTGTACGAAGCAGGCAACTTTGCGGAGATGCACTGGCTGTGGATTGCGTACAATTTGAACGGCAGAGGTCAGCGCATGCACGAGATTGGGAAACATCAACATGAAGGTGGCCTCCGAGGAGCAGAAATTGACATAGCAGAGTCAAGGACAGCCTGCGAGGAGACCCATTTTGGCAAGAGGCCATTACCGCTGAACGGAAACGTCTTCCACGCCGATAAAAGTGAGACCACGAAGCCATGATGCGTGACCGCTGCAGGACAAAAAACAGAGCGCGGCCGTCCTGCGGACTGCCTATCGCATGTCCACTGGTGCTCTTGGACCCCAGGCCGACGTGGATCGCGCCGCGGCAGCCGGCGAGCGAGCGATTGGAGCAGCAAGTTATCAGCAAAGAGGAAAATAGTAGGAGGAGCTAGCGAAGCGCACCGCGCTGCTTAAGTTCAAGAAGGGGAGGCAACTGCTGGAACACAGGGGATGGATCACAGGTGCTAAATTGGGGAAGTCCGGGGGGCAGCTGGACAGGGCGGAGCTGGGCCATGCGTAGACGCGACATCGCTACGTTGGATGGGTAGAGCACGCAGGATTTGTTGGGGCGACGCTATGACATTGGGAATTGAGGAAGTAGTGGTCCCAGGTGGTGAAGGACGAACTGCTGCAAGCATGTCGGCCACTCGGCCGACTTCTCTGCATTTGGCTCAAGAGCATTGTCTTTGTCGCAGAGCAGCAAGCACGAGCATGGGATATCATGGAAGCTGATCGTGCATGCGCATCGCAGCTTCGGAATGAGTTGGCACTCGGGCATCCCCAGGCGCAGGGCGCCCGAATTGCACCCGCCACGGGCGCGGGGGCGAACCGCGCGTAGATGCCGCGAGGACAACGTGCCATGCGCAAGGGCCACTCAGTGGGGGGCGACGAGCGTTGGGCGCAACGCGGCACACTCCAACTATTATGTCTCGAACGCGTTCGCATGCACCGACAGGGGGTCGCTTCGAGCCGTGGGTGGTAAGGCCAGCTCCGGCAACAACAACCCCTTCGCTATGGAGGCAATTAACAGCACCTGCCTGACAATGGGCGCTTCGGACAGCCGAATTCACGCGGCCAGCGCCGCGGGAGCTCAGGGGGGTTCGCGCTGGCGCCTGCGCGATTCAACGACTGCCGCGACGCCCGCGTCTCCCGATGGAGCGAGATGGAACGGCAAGACGGGTCGCAAACATTGCCCAACACAGAGAACCCCATCGCAGGCTGCAGGCATGACCTGGCCATCAACGCGTTCATGGACGACACCACCCAAACCCGCGCATGCCCACATGACAAAAGCCAACGACATTGCTCAGCACATCAACCAGGGCGCGTCAAGACCAGAACGGAAGCATGGTTTGGCGCGACCCGATCACTGCTCCAAAGCAACGGTCAGAGGAAAACAAGGATAACGTCGAGCGCCCAGGCCCCATTGTCCCGGCGAGCAAAGATCGGGGGGCAGTGACACGATTCGCGCGCACTGCCTCTGTTAGCGGCGCAGCGCCGAGCAGATTCGCAGCTCATTGCTACCCGGGCGCTGCGCAGATGCCATGGGCGCAGCGATTGCGAAGTATCTACGAGCGTTAGCGTGGGTGCGTGTGTGGTGGTGGTGGTGTGGGGCGGGGGGGGCGTGAGTTGGCGGAGGGAGGGCGGCGCCGTTCGACGTCGCGACGCCGACGGGGCGTTCAGAGAGTGAGAATTCGAGAGGCGCGCTGTGGCCTTGCGAGAGCGCAGACCCAAGTGACACATGCGATGGATGCAATTTCAATCGCCACGGAGCAGTGGTGGCGCCACCGCGCAGAAGAGGGGAAGAGGGGGATGAGGTGCGGGCGGGCCGCGGGCAGGATTGCGCCTCGGGGTCACCAGCGCAGGGGCGACTTAACAACGCTCGCAGATGCGACCGTGGACATGGCGAGCTGGTTCGACGCGGGACAGCTGGACATCGGCCAACGTGCGCCAGGAGCGATAGACTTGAACATATGGGCTCGAAACGGCCCAATGACATGGCGGAGCGCAGCTGCGATCTGGACCCGGGGGGATGGCGACGACGGCGAGGAGGCGGCGGGGGAAGTTGACATTTTATTCAATCGTTCCCCTCATTTCGCTGGCCCATATTGTAGCATCGCTGGCACTTGCTTGCGTGATTGGGGGGGGGGGGGGGCATTTGGGGGGCCTC